TTTTCCAGAGTCTATTAATTAGCCCCCCAATTTTCAGCGATAATAAAAAGCATTTAGATCTTCTGATCATATTCTTATCTCCCACTTCTCAAGGTTCCTCACCTTCCACTGCATTGCTCGCCTCCTCCCTCCTTGGTGATCCCAGTACAAAGCCACTGCTTCTTCCTCTTCCTCCTCCTCTTCCTCCTCCTCTTCCTCCCCTTCCCCCCCGTTAACAGTGGAAAGACAAGAGTCTGGGAAGGTGGAGTAGCTGGAGTACGATCCTACAATCTGATGGGCGTGTTGATAATCAGGTGGTTTTGCCAGGTAGGGTGGCACATGCCCGTAAACCCAGCACTCTGGAAGGCAGAGGAAAGAGCATTGCAAGCTCAAACCAAGCCTGGGCAATTTGGTGACTTGGTGAAACCCTGTCTCAAAATAAAAAATAAATGATAAAAATTAAAATAAAAAAATAAATAAAAGGGCTGGGGGTGCAACTCCTGGTACAGGCCCTTCCCACGACACCAAGCTGGCCCTTACTGTGCCAGTCACTGCTCACAAAACTGCTTTGTGGCACTGCACTCACTGATGCCATTATGCCTGGGTTCATCCCATGCAGATGACGTGGCTGTCACAGTGAGTCACATCAGGCAAATGTTCATGATAATTTGCGCATGCCTGTATGGCAGTGTGCATTTTTACACTGCAATTCTGCTATTCTTATGAACATTTCAAGAATTTGACAAACGCTATGGTTAGTTTTCCCCTCTGCATGTGAACTATTTATTTCTGTTTTATAAAGGGAGAGTGGGGCTTAGGAGTTGATTCCTTCACGTATTCGTGCATTTATCAGACACCTGCTCCATGCCCTGCTGCGTCCACTCTCATGAAATAACCACCAGCAAAAACTTTTCAAGCAAACTATTTTCCAACTGGATTCTCTGAGAAAACACGTGCAGCAGTAAGTAAAGCACTAGTTGTGAATCAAAAGTCCATAAACTCCACGAAGCCGATGCAGATTAAGCTCCGCAAGAGCCACAGTGGCACCTGTGTGTTTCACTAGTGGGTCCCTAAGGCTGGGCCTGAGAGGGGGGCTTTGGAGGGCCAAAGGGAGGTGCCACCAATCCCTTCTGGAAGATCAGTGTCTCCGAAGTGACCACCCAGCTGGCTGTAATGGATGTAAAATAACACTTCACACTTTTTCACAAGTGGATTAGAGCCCATTGAGACAACCTGGCCCAACCCTAAAGGTAGCAGATACAGAATGTGAGTCATGCAGTGAGTGGCAGGGTCTGGACTGGAATCCGGGGCCCCGAAGATATCCCTTTGTGACTGGCTGTGGGCTCTGATGGTGTCCAGACCCTCATTCCCTTCCCAGCACTCACAGCAGGTCCCCAGGGCGACCAGCAGGGAGAAGATAAGTGGATCCCTGCTGAATTTCCTGTGTCTGCTTTCTGTAAGAACGGCTACTGGCTCGAAGGAGTCACAGGGTCATCAGCAGGTGCCTAACGAAGGGTCAGAGATTCCTGCTAGAGGAAAGGTCCACAAAACCTGTCATGATGTGTTTTGAACAATTTCATGAATCTTTGGACTCGACAGCCTACAGACCAACTGGAGAGTTAAATGCTAAACATAGGGAAGAGTTTTCCCCTTTCATCTTGCATTATTTTGAGACTGTGATTTGATTTTCCTCCAAAGTTCTGCCATCTCCCTCTACCACCCAGGAGCTATAACTTGCAACATAAACATTTATGAAATCTGGATAGATTTTTATGCTAGTGAGGACATGGTTTTCTCCTACAAGGCTGATCCTATTGACTATAGCCCTAAGCGAATTCAGTAGGGAGGCACAGATCAAAAACACAGTATTCCACGCAGCTCATGATGCATTTCTCCTAGTGTATAGAAACTGTCTGAGTTGCCGATTGAGTAGCAAGTTCTTTTCAAAGTAGATTGCCATACCTGGTGCTAAGAAGTAGTTTAGACTCTCTGCTTGGGTATGGTCCTCCTTCTAAGACATTTTACGTAGGAGCCTAACATCAGTCTTTTGATTCCGTAAAAGGGACTCACAGGGAGATGGCAAAAAGGAATATATTGGCTTAATTATATTGGAAAAAGCAAAAGAAAAATTCAGCCAGCTTCCTAATGATATGCTTCATGCAGTTCCATTGTTCCAATGCAGTTCATACTGTACCCTATAATCAATGATTTTACACTGTATCACCCACAAGCTCCCCTCTTAACACAAAAAGACCTTTTAGACAGTAAACATGTAAAGATTTGAAAGCAGCCCAACCTAGACAGACCTAGAATGTCATTAATTAAAATGCAAACTGATTCTATTTCTGGTTGTTGTAATCAACTATGTAAAACAGTTTCAATGACAAGAATCCCTGTGGAAACATGAGGTTATATTTATATTAATGGGGGCAATTTTTCCTTTTAGTTATGTGATTATTTGAACATTTGCAGTTTGGTTACTAAGAGAAACTGCAACCAATTCTTCATTAATTGTCACACAATTTTCACCATCTGAGTTTGTCTGCATACACACACGTTTGTACACACACACACACACACACACACATCTCAGAAATGGAGAACACAGGAAGCAGAAAGCAAGGGGATAAACAATGGAGGCTACTGATTCATAGTATAAGCTTCAGGTTGCAAATTAAAATATCACCAAGAAAAGCAGCAAAGCACAATTCTGACAATAGCTTTCATTAAAGAGTGTGAAAAATGAATAAATGCATCCGTATCAACCCAAGGTTTCTAGACCCCTTTCAAATAACTTCCATTTGCTCGGGTGGCAAGCAACATCAGTTGCAAGGCACAGAAGCAAAATAAACACACACAGATGAAATGTTGCAGTGACTTCATCACACCAGAGGCCACAGACTCTGCTCAGCAGTTACTGCCAGTGTCTCCCACAGTACTTTTCTGGGCATCTTCAGACTGCCTGCAAAGAAATTAACACTACACCATTCGCAAAGGCATTATCTGAAAGTGGATGTGAGAAATAGGGAAATCCTTACAAAAAAAAAAAAGAAGAGGAGGAGGAAGAGGGAACTAAGGAACAAAGGAGGGAAGGAAAGGAGAGAGCAGGGAGGGAGAGAGACAGAGAGAGAGAGAGAGAGAGAGAAAGAAAAAGGAAGGAAGAAAAGTAAAAAAAGAAAAGAAAGCAAGTAAAAAAGGTAGGCAATATGTCAGGAATTTTCTTTCTATTCTCTAAATGAACACACTGCCACTATTATGAATATATAAACATAAAAGACAAAAGTAAACAGTACATTTGTTTATATGCTTGTAAACTCTATATGAATGTAGGTATGCATGCATGTCCACATACATATCCACACAGTTGTGTATTGTAAAAGTCTATTCTAAAATTTTATAGGTATTTAAAATTCAGATTACTTAGGTAAATAATCTGTTTAGTAAAATAAAGAAAGCCTTAAAATTTTTTCTCTCTCCAAGCTAAAGTTGCTACTAATTAAAATAAAGTATTTTCTAAATGTATCTCAAATTGCCTGCCATGTGAAATACAGTCCGTTTCCACGGCTCCCGGCCTGATTCTAACTCTTTCCTTCTTGGTGTATACCCTAAGCGGAGTCGACAGGCACCTGATAAAACCCTTTCAACTGGAGGAAAAGATAGTAAGCAAAGTGAGAGGATGAAAGGGAAGAGCTAAATATTAAAGAATCTTCAGAGGAAGCAGAAATCTGATTGTCATATCACAATATTGCTATAAACAACAGTTACGTGCCAGAAGAGTAGCTATTAGAACTGATAATTCAAACAATGTTGAAAGAACTTCAAACATTATTTAAGAATTCGGACACTGCAGTTTTCAAGGAGTATCTTTTCTTGTTTTGCTCTTTTTGTTGTTGTTGTTGTTAACATATTTGCCAGTGTTATTCTTAAATTGCAGTACCACATAAACATCTACAAACCCTGGCTCTCTGTTTAAATGTATGCTTTTCTGCATTCACATATGCTATGAACTCTTCATCAAGAAACAAAGCAAAACATGTAATATATCTGCTTTGGACCTAAGGAATAGGGTAAAACATATGCCTGATGTCATCACCACTCTTTTAGGGAAAATCCACACAGACAATGGAAATACAAGTGGTGAGAATGAGCAAGACAGCTACAGAACTTTACATTCCAAACTCCCAAAGAGCAAGGAGGGAGAGCAGAAATTTCAATCTATATTTACCCCGTTTATCACAAAAGTCACCAGCCAGAGCCCTAACAACATTGGACAGCAACTTTCCCTACAGTGTTGCAAAGCCTACATAATCAAGCGAGGTAATTCGTCCACAGTCCAAGGCTGGAAAAGAACAGAACAGGATTACGTCTCCGAAGATTATTCTTTGGAATGCTGCTTTAACCAAAATAACTCAACTAACCTGCTACCAAACAAATAAGCAACAACAACAAAAAAATCCTTCCTAGAGAGAGAGATTCCTGCAATAAACAAGTTCAACAAGGTAAAACTACAGAAATATTCTGATTTCCTTTGGGCTCCGGCAGGCAGCCAGTAATAGACCTGAAGTTGTGGTGCTCTTCGCAGCCAACCTCCGGAGACCAGGTAGAAAATTAGAGCATTATTGGAGGAACACTGCCCTGAAAATAAACAGCCTGCCAGGCGGATGTTCCTCACTGGAAACCTGCTTATTTTCTCATGGAAAAGTCTAACCATTCCAATAGCTTCCATGCATTTTATCCCCCAGCAGGAGGATGAAACTCAAAAATGTTCTCATCTCTGCCCCACTACCCACTGGAGAGGATGCAAAACACGGCAGAACTGAGCACCCTGAGATGGGAAGGGAAGGAAGGAAGGGAAGGAATCGGTGAGATCATGCAGCCTCCTCCTGCCTTGCCAGCGCAGGAAGCTCTCACCGCGAATGTTCCCACCCAAGTTGTGAACCCCACAACATACAAGGCCGTTCTGGACCCAGAGCAAGGGTGGCGAAGCACGGCTGCCCACAGCAGACTCCGACATAACTCACACGTGTGTGCTTGTCTTCACCCGGAGAGATGGGAGAGTTTGCGGGGTGGCAATCACCCCCGGCACCTCCAGATTCCCAGACAGTGCCCCCTGGCACCCCCAGGCTTCATCTTGCCTAAGTCTGCAGGATTCCCTGCCTACTGCTGCAATTTACCATCGCAGACACATTTCTCTGGCTGCTGCTTCAAGGACAAAGAGAGAGCACTTATGTTTCCATCACAGCCTGGAGAGCTCAGGGTGATGGTAAAAAATTAAAAATACAAAAACAATCCAAATAAATGGCCCCTGGCATTGTAGTTAGCTGGATCCTCCCGGAGTGGGATCCATGAGAACAGAAGAAATGCAGAAAAGGAAGGTCACCAGGCTTAGCTGGGGACCGACTGAGGATGTTCACTGCAGCAGAGCAGCTCATTCAAAGCAAGCACTTACCATAAAAATAGAAAGAGTCAACAGAAGGAGAAGGATCCTTCCTCAGCTCTGGGGCAAAGAGAAATCAGCTGTAAACCTGCAGGCTGCACTCCGAAGGCTTCCAGCAAAGTGAAGAGAGGCGACAAAACCACCATATACAAGTCCTGTCCAGCCTCTCCGCAGGCCCGCATGCAGTTGTTTGTGCCGTGGAAACCCTGAGAAGTCTGGAGCAGGACTCTTGGAGAGCGAGCAGGAGCGAAAGCAGCCTGGTGAATCCCACCGTGGCCTCAGAGCAGCATGCCCAGGACTGGTCCTCCCCCGGGGTACAGGGGCCGCCTGGGGGTGTGGGGGGACCAGGCTGGGCTCAGGGTGGGAAGGAGAGGCGTGGGAAGGCACCTCTTTGGAGTGGAAGGAACTGCCGGTGAGAACATCAGTATTCCATATCAGTTATTGCCAGCGACCAATCAGCCCAGCCAGGGGGCCGTGTCAGTGTGACAAGAGAGCAGCGGATGACAGCCAGTCCTGGTAGCGGCAGGACACCCCCTGCCTGGAACAGAAGTTTGGCAGGACTGGCATCTGACCCTCTGCCCAGCTGCTGTCAATAATGCTTGTATTTGCCACCTCCCAAAGTCCCACAGTTACACTATGCCGCTTGGGAAGTCTCCGAGGGAGGCATCCCGTTGCATCTCAGCAAAAGCCAGCGTGAAGCCCACCCCGAATGGTGCGTCTTGCAGCCCAGGCAGCCCTGCTGATGTGCCTCTGAGAGGCTCCACGCACACAATAATGGCTTCTTTATCCCCACCATGCAGCTGAGACGCAGGGACTGGGCTTTCTATTTCACAAGAGAACTTCAGATAGCAAAGGGTTAAAGGTCCTGGGGCTGGGGTGGGGGGGCTTTGACTCCCTGTCCTCAGTAATTTTCCTGTGCAGCAACATGAACAGAAGTACTGGTAGAGGTGTGCTAAGGATAGTTAACATCTCCTTTCCAGTCTCCTCAACCACCCCGAAGACAGAGAACACTATTTTGGGTAAACTAACCGTAATTCACAAGCACACTGTAGTTCGAGAAACTCAGAGATACCCCAGTGGAAAGGAGCGAATTCCTTCATGGTAAAGGACGGAGCTGAGGAGAATTCTAAACTTGTCCTTTTTGCGTTTTTCTCCATTCTGTGTTTGTGCTCCATAAATATATTGGTTTGCATTTGGTGATGGTCATTAAATTAGACCACAGAGTGCTTTCTGAAGTTAAACACCAGCTTCATTGGACTCCATGGTACAACTTCCGCACTGTTTCACTTGGAGAAATTGTCTTAGGCCACCTTCTTATCTCTGCAGAAAAAGCAACTCTCTTTTGCCAGTCAAGAGTTAGTAGGAAGACACAAATCCTCTGAGTTTTGTTTGTTGCAGATGACGCTTCTAATTTTAGTCCTGTTTTTACTGGACATGTTGTTAGGACTTCAACCCCTCGGCCAGCCTGGAGGAGCCTCGATACTGAGGCTTAAAAAGAAGGGCCGAGTTCCCAAGAAGCAGCAAGCACAGCACCAAAAGGAGTCACCCTGAGAAGCCATGGAAATGCTCCACATTAAACATGAGCATAACAAAATGAAAGTTATGAAATGAAGAGGAAAGGATGGTTTGCCAGGAGAATCTTAGGGAGACTAGAATTGTTTTATTTTTCATCTCAGTTCAACTCAAATCAACAAACAGCTACAGATACCAACCATGTGTCAGGTGCAGAGATGTGGGCCTGCCTTCGAGAAGTCTACAGTTTCATGGGCAAATTCACATCCGCTTTTTAAAATTTCAACACTGTGTTCTTGCCAACACAGAAAAGGTTCTACTTTTTAAATGTTCTTCAGATAAAACCAAGCCATAAGGTTGGATTTCAGCCTCAAAGCTCTGAATTCGCTCAATAGTGTTTTCTACAATCAAACTCACGTGGGAAACAAATGTACAAATAATTTTTCAAAATCAAATTAACAGGTGAGGTTCTCTAATTGTTTGTTTTTATTGGCATCATCAGCTTCTCACACCGCAAAAAAAACATGGGCAGCATATCAAAGGATATATTTAAAGAGAGTATTATTTAAAGCTCCTAAACTAATTGAAATTAATACTGTTTATGAAACAGGTTCAATACCGTGAATATATAGGAGGATAATGAAGCATGAAAAGGATAATACTGCAGAAATACAAATTTCCTAGGAGATTAAATAATTGAGCAGCTTTATATGACAATTAGGTCAACGAAAATGAGTATTCCAGTCACTTACCCACATGCAATTAATTTTTAAAGTTTGGACACTTCTCTGTCCCTCCTTCCTCAAAAGTCAATAAAAATGGCTCATACTCAGACAGCAGCAAACATCAGTTAATTTTTCTAATGTACAAAATAGTTGTCCAAGTCAATTAACACTGGGATGATCACAGACTGCTTTGGTTGCTCATATAGCACCAGCACTTCACATACAACAGATTCTCAGTGCATATTTTCTGGCTGGCCATTTGATTGGCCAAGAGAATATGGCTAAAATTCTACAACAGCATGATTTAATGTCTTATTTTAAGACTACAAGTTGAATTGTGCAGCTACAAGTCAAATTATGGATTCATACCTGCCATTTATTTAAAAAGAGAAAAGAGACCTTTTATAGGGAATTTGCTTCCAAGAAGCTTGCTGACAGAGCCTTAAAAAGTCTGAAAAATAAGGATACTTCCAGGTCAGTCTTCAACGCAGGGTAGGCACAGGTCATGGAAATTGGAGTCTACCTTCTGTAACCAGTCCATGAGAAAAGAAAGAAAAAGCAAACCTGTTTCCTAAACCACCTCTGGGGTAAGTGGCCATGTAATTCCATTTTTGACACCAGAATGTGTTAACGGAGGCATAAGAATCAAAGAATTTCAGGTAACAGTCTGTCAGTTAATGGTTTTGAAAGCTAAGTTACCATCTGCATATGGAAGTCTTTTGTCTGACTTCTGTAACCAGGGTCTAAAGGAACTGGTATTTATTAACCCCACTTTGTGCCAGGCTTTTCTATGTCTCGTTTCGTCTGCTACAAGCACTCCTAGGACATGAGAATCATGGACACGGGGTATCTGAGGCTCAGTGGGGTTGAAGGAGCTTACCCAAGGCAAATCCAGGACAGGCTCAGAGACCTTCCTCTTTTTCACGGAAACATACTGATTTGAATGTGGGGGGCGAGGATCCTTGCCTCACTGTTGTACAAATTTGGGTGAAGTACAGATGGAAAATTCCAAGTTAAAAGCAGAAAAACACATTTTACTCAGAGATTCAATGTAAACCTTTTATACAACCAAAATATATTCATGATGCTTACAATTTAAAGGGAAGATAATTTGTATTTGTTGATTTATTTTTTCCAACCGAAACCTTACCATTATATTTTAAGACCAGGATAATTCATCTTCAACTGCTAGAAAAGTAGAAAGAATATTCCAGGAAAATGTGGGACTGACACAAACACTAGTGTGACCCTTTATCAAGTATCTAAATTCTCAGCCTTCAGTGGGAAGCCTGAAATGAAGAGAGAATCAGTTGAACTGCTAATGTTTCCCTTCCAGAGGTCTCTCACTGGCTGAGAACAATTTCCTGAAATGCCTAACAGACAGGTTCTCAAACACGCAACAAGAAGTCTAAATACATAAAAGGCGTCCTAGGCACACAAATACACTCACTGCATCCAAGTCCTTGAGAATTTGCTTTTGCTCAGCATTCCTCAACCAGAAGGATCCTATGGGATTAGTAAAGATCAAACCATGCAAGAAGAATCCATAAGATCACAGGCCTATAACTTTTTCTCCTTTTTTTGAAGATAGAAAAATAAATCAATGTCTGACCTAAAGATCCTTGGAGGATTAGGCTGAGTCTGAGAAAGCCAAACTAAGGAGTGGTGTGTGTGTGTGCGTGTGTGTAGGTGTGTGTGTGTGTGTATTCACATGGGTTAATGTTAGAATGCTAGTGTGTGTGCATGTAAAATCCTATTCAAGTTTTGCCACATCCAATTAGACCTTAAGTCTCGTTACCTATACACTCTTTTCCAACCCAGGTTAAGGATTTCAACCAATTCAGGGCCTCATTCCTTTTCTTACACTATTACAATAACTTCCAACCTCTTCCCTGTTCCAAGCCTCCCCTTGCCATTAGCATTTTATTTCTAAAACAGAGCAAATGTAATCACCAGTGTGCTTGCTAACAAGAGTTCTTAACCCTAACATTCAGTGCCTCTGCAATGTGACCTTTGTTTACATTTCTAGTACCATTTCCCTTTACTTCCTCCATATCCTATCCCCTTATTATACTTGGTTACTTCTTGTTCCCCACAGATACCATATCTTTGACCATGGTGATCCATTTCACCTAGAATAACCTTCCTTGCTCCTCTCCCTGGAGAAACTCCTCTATTTATCCTTCAAGGCCAAGTTCAGTGTCATTTTCTTGTTTAGGCACCAAATTCCCCACTGTGACTTAATCATTTCTCTGCATTTCCATCGCATCTTTCTAGTCTTATACTATCAAATACAAATAACACCTTCACAGTACTGATTAGTACCTTTGCACCTATTTAATTGGAATCCTCTGATAGTCCCAGTGCCTCAGGCGCCATAGGAGCTCCGTAAGTAATTCCGTCTTCTTTGCCTCTTTTTGTACAATCCAAAGAAAGCACAAACTTGCCTTCAGGAGAGTCTGCAGGACTACAGGCTTCTTAACCACACATGTCCCCTCCTTCCAACAGAAGTCTCTGTGGTTTAAGGAAAGGGCCTTGGAGTAGAGAATCAGAAGATCCACGTCCAAGGCCTGTACCTAGACGTTTAGGCAATGTGTTAACCTAACAGGAAGAAAACGAGTCCTGCTTACCTCTGAATGCTCTTCTGAGCATTCTAAGTGAGTACTGAGAGGGAAAGTATTTCACGGACTATACAAGTATACGGTGGTGGGCAGAGTTACTGTCCTTGTCATATAACTGTTTTGCCGCTAAGATCCTGACAATGCCAGCACAAAGTTAGTTAAATAGGTGTCTTGTGCAAGCTAGCCCAGGAGCCCAGTGACTCAGCACTGAAGTCATCCCGGCCCTTGCTTCAGTCTGCAGTTGGGATGTAGAAAAACTCTGAAGCCTGGAAATAATAGGCCAATTCCTGGCACCCACAAAAGCAGAAGGCCCTGACTCAGATCCTAGTTCTGCTATTTCCTGGCTAAGCAGACCCGGCCTCTGAGGCCCGAGTCCCACATCTAGAAAATGGGAATCACAATACCTACCCTACCACGTTGTTGAATGAGATGGGGTATAGAAGGATATATATATATATATATACATATATATACACTATGCGTCTAATACACATTCCACAAGTGGGCAGGAAAGGCAGCCCTTTCTCTTGGACTCTACAGTAACTACAGATGCCCCAGCCTTGTCTTCCTTCTGCTTCTTGAACTTGACAAGTTCACTCCCACCCAGGGTTGGTGGATGTGTTTCCTCCACCTGGAACCCCTTTTCTAAGATTCTAGTGTGTCCACCTATCCAAAAGGTACCCCTGAACCTGTCTGTCATTTCCCAGCAAATTGCTTTCTTCATTTTTCTC